GGAAGAACAAAAAGCACTGCCTATCCACAACGAGGCTGAGCAAAAACTGGGGAACGCTAGGGAGGAGTCCTGTGGAGGAGGAGGAGCATTCTACAAATTAAGCCCAGCCTAGACATGCAGAGACTGAAGCACCTCCCCACTGCTGGATGCTCTGAACAGCTCATGGGAGCAGCAGCCTTAATTCTCCAAAACATATTCAGTTTTTAAAAACTTTGATGTAGAAACTAATTTAGGAATGACTAGTAATTTAATTGTGAAATTTTTTTTAAAAAAAACTGTCATTTTAAAAATATAAAAAAGAATAAATTTAGCCTAGTACGAATTTTCATTTAAAGGCTGAAATGTGCATTACTTCACATTAAAAAATAATTTGCATAATTTCTGTTTTTATTTACTCTTGTAAGTGTTTTAAATGGATGATTTAAGCACCCGCCAGACAATATAAATTTCTTACATGCATAAAAATAATTTTCTCTGAAAAAAAATAGACAAGTCTATTATTGAAAACTGTTCAAATGGAGACATATTGAATGCTCAAATTAATCCTAAATAGAGCACAGCTCATTGAATATTCTAATCACACTATTTCCAGTATTAAATCTGCACTAAAGGACTAATTTGGTGCAACACATTGACCAAAATATTTTAATTAAAAATATTCTGAGTTAGTCGCAGGCCTAATTACAGGAATAGCAATAGGGCCTATATTGTCATGCAGGTCAGTAGGACTCAGTAGTAGGTTTTTCTCAAGTAAATTGACCGATCCAGGAATAATAGTGCAGCTGCTAAACTGCCAGTCTTGACATGTAAATCAATTTAAATGCAACAACTGCAGTAGCTACTTTGACAGTTATTCAATTTATACCTTGGAGAGAGATATCTTAACAGAGAAAGTCAAACTTTTAAAATATATTTTTATTTTAAAAAATCAAATCAAATTTTAACTAAACACTCATACTGTTCATCAAAGCAAAATGTTTTTTATTTTATTTCTATAGTTAAATGTTAATAGAACACATATGATAAAACTACCTTATTTTCATGCTATCTATAAGATTAAAAAAATAGAATAAAATATACCTTTATAAATTCACTTGAAGTCTAGCTGATACCACTACTAAAAATGCTATGGAAATTGCTGGTGTTTATTATTGTAGTTTAAGCCTACAATAATACACATCCCAGCAATTTCCATAGCATTAAATGGATATGCTTTCAAGTAAACTTGCATAAGTTTTCACCAAAAAATAATTTCCTTCCAAAAATAAGAATCTCAATACTTTTTGAGATTCAAACTATCTTAAAATGTTAAATGAGTTTTTAAAAACAATCAAATATTTGTTAGATTATATCAAATCTAAAATTGACACACATTTAACAAAAAATAGCACAATTTGCACATGAATTATAAATTTCAGATTAAAATTACAGAAGTTAAACCAAAACAAAAGTTCATTCCAATATATCTAACAAATATAGTTCACTAATAAGCAAGAAACCAGGAAGGTTGTTTTTCTAAAATTGCACAATTTACAACATGTATTTTTAAATTTTATATGCCATTCTTCAAGGCCAAGTTTTTCAGAAACATATTTCAACAATTAAAATTATAAAGAAAGAAACAATAATCATAGTAGTTATACCTCTTAAAACATGTTTAATATATTTCCAGATCTGATGCAAGAAAATTTCACATGCTTTTAAAATACACTAAACACTAAGTATTTACCAAGCTCTGTCTGCTATTTTGAACAAAAGTCTCCAAGGATTTAGTTCCAGAATCAATGCTCTATTGATTTTACTATCAATGAACATTATGGCTCACATGACAGGCCATTTTAAGGGAAGATAGCTTCTATTATATCCCACTTTTTGGAATATATACTGTCAAAAGATAAATCACTGTGTTCTGTGGCAATTAAGCACTATATTTAAAAATTAAGCTATCTGCTCAATTTTTAGGAGTACATATAAACAATGATCCTTAGTTAGTCAGAATGCTTTGATAATTTTAATCTTGTTTTTCACATTTAGGAAATTAGATAATTAGGAAGTATACAGACAATTCATTACAGCCCTTGTTTGTAGAAATCAATCTATCACATAGAATGAATCTTCAAAGAGAATGAAACACATAAGCAGATTGTAAAGCAGTTTTTCTGTTCTTTCCATTTGCCCATTCTCCTAATTTCCTCATTTCAAATTATGAATTACAAAAAGAGAAAATAATTCACTACATTCATAACTAATATAGATCAGAATAAATTCCCCCTAAACTATTTCATCAAACTAGAGATTTATTTTGCAAAAGATGCAGTTACTAAACAAATAATTTGGTTCTTCTTATTTAGGTGGCTCAAGGTACTATAGTGTAACTGGCTATCACATATGAACACTCAACCCAGAGCTATAGTCCCTACTTTTTAATTAAAATTGTGACAAGATTAGAACTGAAAACCTATCACCAAATTTAACTGAATCTTCAACATCATTCCACAAGGATGTATACAGGATGTTAATATATATTTACAGGGTGGGGAAAGGATATTTCCTTTTATATTGTTCCTTTTGTATTGTTTTTTCTTCCATTTGTTTTGCAAACACACAAACACACACACACACAATGTAAATGAGTTTCAGAACACTTCTATATGTTCCATATGGTAGTTGCAAAAAACTATTCATTACAAAAAAGGTGCTAGGATATACAAGCCTGGTGTTGAATTGGTGGAGTTTGGTACTCCACCAATTATTTTGGTCACAAGAATTTTAAAAAGCTATTGATGTTGAAAAGAACACTGTGAAAAGATTACCAAAATGATGTTGTTCTAATAATTAACATTTTTAAATAAATAACAAGTTTGGGTTATATTTTTTTAAGTTTTTCTAATGAAAAAGAAGTAATTTATTGGAAATCAATTTCATCTACGTATTAAAGCTAGGCAGTAAGTTACACCAAATTTACATTCTAACCTGGCAACTAAAGTAACTATCTTGAAAGTAATTCCTACTATCAATCCACATATAATAGAGATAATGGAAATTTTAAATATTATTTTACCTGCTGTTCACTACCATGTGCAGTAGGATATTAAACATTTGGGCTTTGTGCAACAGTTTACAAACTAGTATTTATCTTCCTCCAACTTCAGAATGCAGATTGTTTGACACGTAAACAATTCAAAGGGAAATTCAAAAGTTCAGCCTCTGTACCAGCTTCTCTTTCACATGCTCTGGAACCAAAGGTTCAAATTTCTTGTGAATTGGGAACTGGATTCTGAACAAACAGATTTAGAACCAGAAACTCAAGTTTTCTTTAAAATTCTGGTATATATTTTAAATATTCTGGCTTTCTTTACACTATTGATATTCAATAGGTAAGCAAAATTTAAAATGTTGTTTACAGCATATAAAATAAATGGAACTGCTGCACCCTGAGCAAAATATTTGTTTCATGAGGAAAAAAAGAGGCTGAAAATTGAAATAGCTGAAGATTTTATAATGTTCAAACTTTAATATTATTAGGGAGGATATTAATTAAATTGTGCAATTGGGAAAAATATACTTTTAAGAAGGAAAAGGCCTTTAAAAAGCACTGGTTGTCTTTTGATTAGCTGTTATTTAAGGAAGATAAATATCCTGCATATTGTAATCAACACCAGCAGTTTTTCAACTGAATCAGTGAACCAAAGTCAAAAATTCCTGCAGGCAAATACCTGGGGAAAGATTTCTCATAGAAGAATGGATGTTTTGTTTGTTGCTTTTAAGAGGAAACACCTGCTGCTACTGCACATTCCTAGCTTCATGGAAGAGATCATCATAAGAGGTTAGGAGGCGTTTAAACTATCATAAAATTTAATTTTTGTTTAATTGTAACTCAATTAAGAATGTAACTCATTCTTAAAAATGGGCAGAGATTTGACTCCTGTAATGCCACACATTTCTAACCTAATTTTTAGTAGGTGCATTAAAAAGAACATGTGTAAATATTTACATGAAACTTCTAAATAACTTAATATACAGCAACTATAAAAGGCAATTCCTTGACATTCTAGCTGTATTAAAGAAAGAAGGCTGAAAATTTTAGAATCTATATCTTTAGTATTAGTTAGCTTAAAGAACAATATGCATATAAAATGAGCCACTACAAAAAATAGCAAAAAGGATGACATAAGACATTGACACCCCCACCCCCCCATTGTTTAACTTCCTAAACTTCCTTGATCTATGACTCCAAGCTGAAAGAGTGCAGTAGGAGGCAGGGTAAAAACCATACACAAAATCACCAAAACTCCTCTGAATGCTGTTCCTTGGCTCTTTCAACACAGAGGATTATCTGAAAGTAGATAATCTCTACTATGAGACCTGGAGTCATGCCAAGGCGTCTACAAAGCCAAGAACCCCTAGAGAACATTCAGCACCCCTGCTCAGAATATTGAAAACCTACAGATATTTCAAATAGATCTCCTATGCTGGTAGTAAGCCTTTTCTTCCTTCCTCCAAAATATCTGAGTGACCAATAATTAAATTGAGCAAATTTAACAAACTGTGCATCTTAACAAACTGTGCAAGTCCCAATTCTTATTCCACAAGAATTGAGAAAAGCAAACCAAGCATAAGTGATTGCCTGATTATGTTCTTTTCTCATGGAGAGCAAAAATATTTACTGTGTTTTGCCCATTAAAGAAATTACTGAATAACATAAAACAATTGAAAGCTAAGTTTGATAAAGTAGGCGTGGGAGAGAGGAAACCCTGAAGATGGCATGGGGACTTGTTCTGAGGATCAAATTAACAATCAGAAAAATAACAGTTACACAAGAATGTGTTAGTAATAAAAAAAATACAAATACATATTGTAAGCAATTTCCCTAAGAGGAAACCCATTCATACTTACTGAGAATTCAGTAACAGTTAGAAATATGTGTAACAATCCTGGCTCACGTTAGTGGCTACATCAGTTGAAAATATTGTTCTGAAATATATTCAAGATAAACTCACCTATGCCTTCTCTCTTCATCCTTTAAAACCTCGTATATGGCCACCAACTAGAATAAAAGGTACTTTTATGTTCAAAAACTCTGCACTGAAAAACCATAGAGTTTTGCTGTAAAATTGCAAAAATGCTAGACTATCTTTCTTAAAAATCAAACAAAGAACAATACAAATCATTTCTTGAAAATATTTAAAACTCTCAAACATTTCTACCAATATTCCAACTTTGGCAGTTCTAAATATTTTTTCCACAATTAAGGTAATATTAATTTAATTGTTATTTAACCTAAAATAAAAATATTAAAGATTTTAAAACATTTTATTGGTTCACTAATATTCATAAAATCTACCAACAGATTCCATGTGAAATGGTGAGGAAAAAATATTTCAATATAACTAGAACTCAATTTTAATGTAAAGTAAACCAATCTTGTACAAATATTTGCTTTCCTTTTCTTAAAAAATATAGCTTGTGACTTTGTCCTAACAAAAAAAGGATCCCTTAATGTCTAACTCCCCAAATTAAGAATCGTCATCTAAGAAGGTTCTATTTTATACAATGTACCTTTCATCTTTTTGTTTTATCTGAACCCTGTTTTAAATATTTAGGAAAAACGCTTCCAAAATCCTGAATTCATTTCTAAATATAATACCATAGTCATAATGAGACACATTTTTTTTCATATTTTAATGATCATTTAAATTTTAATAGTACTTATTCACTTACTTGTCTGAATTGGGTTTCAGCATTTTCATCTTTATTCTTGTCTGGATGTAATATCAGTGAAAGCTTGCGATAAGCTTTCCTAATATCTGCCGATGGAGCATCCTACAAAACACAAAGCAAACTTTGTCAGAAATGAATTTCCAGAATCTTGTTAAGATCGGAGAAGGCAGCCAACCAAGCACAGGGACCTGAGGCAATGTAATTTGAGCAATCATTCTTTACAGCCAGGATATGCAGCCAGTTAGGCCCACAAGACTGAACAATCGGTCAGTCTAATTTCGTTCTCCTCTTAACTTGTTTCAGTACCATGTGCTCATTACAAGAAGACAGTATTTGCAAGATACTTTCAAACACTTATTTCCTTAAAATGAGCAAATAAATTTTCAGAGGCAAATTAAATTAAATTAAAATAAATTAAAATATATGTCTGCCTGTCTTCAAAAATATGATATTTTAATCAGGGTTTTTCTTATTTATATAAACTGCACTACAGGCTAAAGCTGTGGCTTTATTACTAAATGTATATATCTTTTTAATTTCTTGCAGAACTTTCAAACAACCACCGACACTAATGCTGCTAAAGAGGACTTGTAAGGAGTGCTGCTGCATTTTTTTTAAAAAAACAACTCAGACAAACTAACAAAAGCAATTCCCAAATTGCAGTTCAATTTTATTTTATTATTTAATCTTGAAAAGGCCTATTAACTACATTAAAAGTTCTGAACTTCTTTTCTAAAAAGGCACAGAATGAAGTATCTGAATCTAACTCCTAGTGCTTTTCTTAAGAGATACTATGCCTGTTGCCTTCCACAACTGATCAAAATATCATTGGATGTACTATGGGGAAAAATTAAGGTTATTTAATAGTCATTGTGTCAAAGATATTCAAAGATATAATATTCTGAGTAGAATGCAGAACCATCACATCAATTTAGTTAAATATTTCTCAATTGGTGAGTCCTTGATGAATAGTTGGTATTTTGGGATCTCAAGCACAAAATTCTCAGTCATTCAGGTCATGATTGTCTCTAAGATGCTTTTTCAAAAGGCAACTAGTCTATGTTTTTTCCCTTGAGGAAAAAGTTGTTTTGCTTCTCATCCAAGAAACTTTATCAGTGAATCATGAATCATGAACTGATGATGCTTCTTGGATGAGTGGCGAAATGTCTTCTTCCTCAAGGAAAAAAACATAATCCAACTGCCTTTTGAAAAAGCACTTTTGAGACAAGCCCTAAAGATATTTTGGAACAGGATTAAAATTTTGTCATGAAAATCAAGCATTAAGGTTTTGATTTTAGAAATGTTTTTATTTAAGTTTCAGTCAATATACTTAATATATTCTCAATGTATGTATGCTGAACACTTTCTTAAATAAAGTTTGTATGTGCAAAGTAACTATAATCGGTCAAAGCAGAAAGATCCTCTAAAACTGTAAACCAAAATTAAGGCAATTATAGCAACACTGTAATTTGTCTGTCAAGCCTTCCAATACAAAGCAATGTTTACTTTACAGATTTATAGCATAATATAAGATAATATAAGATATTTGAGGCCAGAAGGGAATGGTATGGTGGGGTGTATTAAGTGTGAGGGAATGTCTATATCCATGTAGCATACATACATTGAAAAGCTACATCCAATAATCATATATATGCCATGAAAACAAATTCTTGAAAAAGATATATGATTTACACATCTGCAGATTTCATTCATGCAGCTCCTACTCTGAAGTGTTTTTCATATAAGAAGTGCACAATGTTTGAAGCATTTTTGACTAATCAATGGAGAGAATGAGTACCAAAACTTTTAGATAAAGAAAAAAGTATCCAAAATTCAAACAGAATTTCTAACTCCAATAGTTAAGTAATAAAAATTTACTGAAAATCTAGATTCCTAAGCACATTTATGAAGGCACTTGAACATAAATTTGTTCTCACTAAAAACTAAATTCCATGCAAATAAATGAATATTCTACCAATATAGGTTTTAAAGAAGTTTATATGCTTCTAGAAACTTGTATAAATGATGGGACTAAAAGACATTTGCAACCTATCTTTATGACAACTGCCTATAATATAATTCCAATTTATGTCTATTTGTAGAAGACTTTGGCTTCTCTTATTCAAATATTCAAACAGTAATAGCACTTGGGGAAAAAAAGTTACATATTGCCAAAAAAGGAGGAAAAGAAACAAAGTTAGTTCACTTTAATATCCAATCATGTCAGTATGAAGTAAAAAATGACCTTATTTATAGAAAGCCAATTTGTAATATATGTAAATTAAGTAATTTAAAGGCTAAGAATTGACTCTCCACATACTACTTTGGCAAGATGTCTCACTAACACAATTTCATTATGTTTGGACTTGGCTATGAGGTTGAGTTAGCCAAGGCAATATTGACCATGACTTTGCAGTCAATTACACTATGACAAATTGCATTCAGCACCTGTCACTTAATTGTGATGAAATCCTAAGAGGAAGGAGGTTGGAAGGTGGGAATGAGGGTAAACTAGGGAAGATGCATATTTAGTACTCAGTCATGTTTTGATCAACGCTAGCGTTTGTGTATATCAAACTCTGTAAAATTCAAATTTTGTAATACTGAATTGCTTTTCTCGTGTATCATATTACTGCCAAACATACATAATCTGTTTCCATAACACAGCCAGCACTGAATAGGTTTTTATCATTTCAACCATTTAATATTTTCTGCATATACAAAAGGATAAAGTAAACCTAATTTGGATTAACAGCCTTTGACAAATGAAAATAAATCAAAACACTTTTTACAAGGGAATTTTCACCCAAAAATACTTATCAGAACTGCAGCTTTTCTTGCTCCAAGAAAACTATTCTTATTCTAAATCTTGACAAAGTAGACAATTCCTTGTCCTCTATTTTTTTTAAGGATTTCAACTTTTACAATCCCTTTCTTAAAATTTCAGCAATCCTATCAAGTTTCCCATCTTACTATTTTCCAACTATATGGTATAGTTCCCATTGGTCCTTCTAACATTTGTGATTTAGAATTTTTGTCATTCAAAATCCAAAAAATATTTATTTTATTTATTTGAATTTGTAAACCATCCAATTCCAAGGGGTTGGGTGGGTGGAAGCGGCAGTGGGAGGGTGATTCCATTATCTCGTTTCTCTCCCCCCACACGCCTCGTTTTGCTTCCTGCCCCAGAGATTTGGGTTGTGGTCTTGTCCCTTGTACGGTCGGGCGCTCTCCTCTTGCTCCAGCCACCTGAACCCCCCCCCCCCGTGGACCTTTTCCCCCCTCTTTAAGTTTTCTTTACTCTCATTGCCTCCCTTTACTCCATTCCCTAAGAATACAGACTGGCCGGGCAGTTTCCTCCCCACCCCTCCCGGTAGTTTTAAAAAGGGAACCATCTATCCACTTTGCCCTTCAAGCAAAGGCAAACCTTCCAATCCAAACAGAAGAGAAAGGGAATCATCCTACAGATCCTTAGCACCAAGCTTCCCAGAGGATTCTCCCAAAGGATCCACCCCAAAGGAGGATTCACCCCCTTAAATGCACTCCCCTCCTTTGGGGTGAATCCTCTGATGAATCCTCCTTTGGGGTTCTCCCAAAG